AGTCTCGCAGAAAAAGAACAGCAATGAAATTTGATAGGAGCGAATAAAACTTTCAAAACGAAGATTGAGTAAATTTACAATTTATAAGATACATTACACGTGCAGCATCTATTTTTATGAATTCGTGTTTAATTATAGAAAGAGATTTCTCTCTCTTTCTCTCTTTTCCCCTCTCTCCTACCCCCCTCTCTTTTTTTCTCCTAAGTTTTAATTTAGAAGCCAAGTTATGTTCAAGTATATTTCGTGCAAAATGTAAACCTCACGAAAACTGCATATGATTATAAGGAACCACAGAGTGATCCGAATCGCGTGAAACGAAAACGTTATCTGATATCGAGTGTCTCCAGTGCAACGATTCACGCGCACGGGCAACTCCGCCTGGTGACCTCATTTATTCGTAACAAAAAGTATTCTTATCGCTCGCACAACATATGCGTGTACGCGGTGTACGAATGGCTGGGCTTTAAGTCCGGCCCGTTTCCCCGCTAGATATCTCCCGATCTTCTTTGTTTCTCGTGCTTTATTTTGTAAATCGCTCTATGCCCGACACCTGACACATATTCCTGATAAACGACCGTATTAATAGCCGGATTTAACTTCCTTCTGCGGTTTTTCCATCTAGAATATTATTAAACTTAATATATGCGTCAAACTTGAAATCGCCTTGAAATGCGAACATTAGAGCAAGTCATGTTTCAGAAGTAATAAACGCTAATAAACGAGATAGAGCTTTTTTTAACTTATATTTAATTCAGTATCTGCTACTTCTTTAAATAAACTTAAAGATTTGTGAATATTATACTAATTAATTGCATTTGTTGCATAAAAATGTACAGAATAGTCTTATATAATGAATAATCTTAAACCGTCAAATATTCTTTTTAATTAAGCTTTTATTGGTTCAATTTTGATTTTGAATTAATTTCGTCTTAGTACGAGAAAAATAAGAAAGATCGTTATTTATAAGATTCATTTTCAACAAATTTTTGTAATAAACTTGTGAAATTCAATTAAAATCAATTATAATAAATTAATAGTGAAATCCAACTAAAATAAATTAAAAGTTGTAATTCAGACATCTGTTTATCTTTCATTTTCTTGAAATTTACTTTATATAAAATTTAATTTCAATCGCTATTCTGTACGAAAATTATTAATCACTTCAACATATTTGCGTTGAAATTTTTTACAATCATGATTACAAAATCCACAAATCAGTCACAAGTAAATCTCAATAATGTTTACAAAGCTTCAGATTAATATTAAAATATTAATATTAAAAAGCTTTAATTATCATATCTGCAATGTTTTTCTCTACAAGAGTATTATCATTTATTATATACATATTTATCACGTTTTTAACGTTAAGTCATATTAGTGCGACAATGGTTCTATGTAATTATTCCGTATTATTTATTAAAAAATTAACATATGTATCAATTTGTATCATTATTTTGTAAATGTTATTCCAAATAAATTATTATTCATTATTGTAGTCTATGACATTGGCGATTCCTCTAAGTGCGCTTTTTGTTTACGTTTATTTACGATTAATAACAATCGCTATAGTCAGCCAAGCGAGAAAAACGTGACTAATTTAGCTTACGGACGTCGTAGTCGGCTCAATCTCCAAGCGTAAATTAGACCGGTCGGCCTTCCTCGGAAGTGGTTCCGCGATGATGTGATATGCTAGTACGAGAAAGAAACGGAGGAAGCGTAAAATGAAAGAAGTAGGAAAGAGAGAATGATGTGCTCACATGACCGGACTGATTCTACGAACAAACGATAGGTTGGCGTAAATGCGATAATTTTACGAAAAAGGATGCAAATAAAACTAATAACAAGAATAAATTTAAGTGGAAGACGCAACGCGGCTTTAGTGTAATTGACGGTGAACAAAGAGAGAGAGAGAGAGAGATCGATAGATAAATAGATAGATAGATAGATAGAGAGAGAGAGGGGGGGGGGGGATCTACAGAAATAAACTGTCTCGATGAGTCAGAAAATCCTCCTCCGTCTCACCGTTTACCGGACTCTTCTTTATATTTATTGTAGAGCAGATGCACCGCATCTGGTGCCAATTTCCGAAACGAAATGTTGGTCAACGCACCTAACAAAGAGAGCGCCCGATAGAGATACGCGTTATCGTCCGCCAATTTAGCAAGACGGATAAGACTGGAAAGGCTGACTCTGCGCACGCGAGACGCAAAACCAAACTCCTAAATCTACAATCGTGTAAAACGAGTGAATGAAGTTAATGGATGTGGCAATGACACGAATTGTTTGCGAGAAGCTTCATTGAAGATACAGTTGGCGTTACCCCTCGCATCTCACTCGCTGATTGTCAATATTCGTCGGGCATTGTTGGTTTACAATTAATTGTTTCTCTGGCTCGGAGCGCGTCTACTGCGTTCCGTTTCGAAAATTAAAAAGTCTTCAATACGAGGATATTATCGCTTGCTTAGATAACATCCTCGTATTAGAGATTTAATGTTTGAGTTTTCTAAGTATGAATATCCTTTATATGTATCGCGATTTATTTTTTGGTAATTACAGATGCTTTTGTTATACTTTATTATAAGACCAACAAGTAAATGTTTTTTTTTATTACAATTGTATATATGTATATTGTACGTATTTTTTTTTTATACCTGAATAAATATTATTGCGCGTGACATGAGACACGGCCGTGTTTCTTGATTCCTACCATATCTGTGTAAATGTATACATTATCTATAAGTATTTATATATGTGTGCTTTGAGAATATATTGGTATCATTGATATCTTTCGCTTGACTTCAAGTATGTATACTTCATGTATATCTCAATTTATGCTTTGCACAGTGTTAGAATATTTTTCACAATTAAGATCTTTGTTTAAAATAATTTTAAATTAATGTTGATTTTTTTTGTTATAATATTCCAAATTTGAGCGTAAAATCAAATTTGACAAAAAATATTTTCTATTATTTCTACGCTGTCAAACTACATTGATTATTTCTTTTTTAATTTAATGATGTATTGAATTTTATTTTCAATTAACGTTTACGTTTAATTAATATTATATATATACAAAATTGCCAAACGGTTTGTTCATATGGAAAACGAATTATCCACGAAAGACGTGGATTCTTTGTTCAGTCGCCGTAAACAATTCGTGGACGTTATGTGCAAGCAGTGTGGGATCGTTAAAATAGAGAGCAAATACCATTCGTTTGCTACGCAGAAACCAAAGACAGAAAGTTAAAAATAAAAACACAAACCGGCGGAAACCGGAGATAAGGCACAGTCATAATATGCATTGAAATTAATGCACATTACTACGATGCATAGTACGCCCCGAGGGGACGTATGTATGTATGTTTAGCGGTCCTTGCGTTAGTGAGAAATACAATGGAATATATACGTACGAAGCAGGCGATTGTATCTAGAGAACGCGACACGAATGACGGTGACATCATCGACAACGCATGCGCATCAATGGTAGATCCGATCCATGACCGTACACTGAGTACGCGCAACAGAAATTTGTTGATTCTGCAATGAAAACGTAGTTTAATACTCTAACAAATTTTTTAATTTTATTTTCCCCTCTTTTTCTTTGAGTCTCTATACTGTCGAACGTCGTACATATTTTTTGAGATTTTAAGAGCTTCTCAAATGTCAACTTATCTCTATACAACGTAGATATCAATCGAATATCCTTGTAATATTTAACTGTTGCAGTATTTAGATTTTTGGATCTTAAGAGTAATACTGTCTCATATGAAGTACATTTAGCTTACAAATGACAACTTTCGCGAGAGAGATGTTACTTCGAGAGGATCAAGATATTTCTGAATTTTTTTCATATATCAAAACATTAATTTATATGTTAGATAATATAGTAGTTTATTTTAACAACTGATGATTACAAAATTATACTATTGCATACTCAATAGTATAATTTTGTTCTATCGGTTCATTTGCAAAACATTGTATAAAGCAATATTTTGCGAATATATTGTTTAAAATTAAACTTAAAAGAGATACCATTAATTCATTGTATAAAAGAAAGAAAGAAAATGTTTGCATAGAAGAAAACGTAATGATAGTACAATAATAATAAAGAAATTTGAATACTGTAACAGTTAAATATCGTCAGAAATATCCAGAGATATTCATTGAATATCCGCAGAGGTTATCGGTTGACATTGGAAAAGTTCGAGGCGACATGTGTTTAAAAAAAGAAACACGTAGTGTATTTGACGAGCTTATGAACTCAAAATTACGTAATAGCAGAAAACTTGATAAAGAAAAAAGTCCGGACGCGATAACAGTTTATCGTCAATATGCAGCTCTGATACAGCCGCGTCTAATGCACGCAGACGACGTTTTATTACGACATTTTGTATAAAATTTACAAAAATGAGGTTGCGTCTTTTCGCGTCGCGATATATCGATATACGTGGAAAATATATATTCCGGGCAATACGCTTGCACTACGATCGCACGTAGCTACGTTACTGGGAGACCGCGCAAGAGCGATGACGCGGGGCGACGAACGTTGCATCGCGACGCATCGAGTTGCGTTTGCGTTGCGCGTCGGGTCGTCGGCACGCGTCGCGCCGTAGTCGTGCGCGCGTATCGCTCGGGACCGGGCACACATCTTTGAGAATCCAATCGGTCGTCGACAAGTCGCGCGACAAGACCGCAGCTCGCACGCGACAGGCACGGCTGCACGTACGAGGGAGAGAGGGCAGACAGCCATTTTTCGCAAATCCCGCGAAACTTGCGAGAGGTTGCGCGACAACCTTGACGAGAGTGCGCGTGCCGGGAAATACGCGGGCGATTAGAACAGATACGGAGATTAGAGCGGTGGGCACGGAAATCCCAGGAAAAGAAGCAGCGGTTTCCTCGGTCAGTGTTGACGGGAGCGAAGAAAGAACAAAAAAAAAAAGAAAGAAAAACCGCAAAAATTCCGTCGTTGTTACTGCTGCTGCTGCTGCTGCCGTTGCCGCTGCCGCTGCCGCCGCCGCTGCTGCCGTTGACGGTGCCAGTGCCGCGTCGGCGTCGCCGGTCCGACAAAAGTCGCGGCCGCAGATAAGAATCCCGCGAGTGTTCGCTCGATATTGGAGCCGCGCGACGAAGCGCCGAAGGTCGTACAGCGACGTACAGCGACACGCATGATCTGACTGGCTCCGGATCGAGGCACGCGGGTGTGTTTCGGCTACCTTGGTACATGCGTGCGTGCGTGCGTGCGTGCGTGTGTGTATATATACGCGAGAGACTGGATCGTTCGCAGAATCGCAAACGAGTCTCTTTCTCTCTCTCTCTCGTCGAGATCTTGGTGGAGACTAGTCGCTTATTATTATCGCGCTACAACGATCGGCTCTCAGTCGCCGATGCCGACAGAAAACTGAATTGAAGCAACGTGCGCGCGCTTGTATCTTCAGACCAGGCTGTTGAAGACACATCTCCAAAAGATTATCGAGATTATTAACGAAGTGCATGTGCCTATAAAAGACAGGGCATTTACACGCTTCACTTTACCCTATTTGGATCGCAACGTAACGCGGAAGTATATCGATCGCGAGGACAAGCAGTGTAAATTGGAAATCTGAGACGGAGAACGGACACCTGGGAGGGACGTGTGGCAAAGAAACGGAGATATGGAAACGACGTGAAGCGTCGAGTATCGCATGCCGATAAGATCGTGAAATCGCGATTCGAGATCAGCGCAGGAGCGGTCGTGCGACACCGGAGGTGCGGATGTTCGTGCTCTCGGGGCACCTCTACGAGTGAAGGCAATGTGAAACGCGTTCTTCTGACGCGATGTTACGTCAACGCGCGACTCGTATGGTGATTTTGAGAGCGAGTGTCGAGACGACTCCGTGAAAGCGGTCTGTCACGATTACGAAGCTAATTGATTCAGCGCTATTCGGAGAAAACGCACGAGGTAATTAATTATCTTGTTACGCTATGCGATAACTTTTGTCTGAGCAATTTATTCAACTTGATTCCTAATTCTCATTGTGTCTATATAAATGTGTCAATTTTAATATGAATGAAGAAATGTAGAAAATGAAAGGAATTTTTGCATTGTTACTACTTGCTGTCGTTTACTTTGCAGAAAATCATGAATAATTATTAAGTGAAAGTATTATTTTTAGGCGTGCATTTATGTGGCTAACATTTAAGAGTTCTATGAAATTTTTAAAGTATTGCTTTAAATAACAATATAATAACTGCAGTTAATATATTTTTTATTTGTACACATATAAAATCGTGCAAGAATATTAATATTATATATGAATAAAAAAGTTATTCTGTGAAACAGTTTTACCATATTGATAAATATTTGTTTATCACTTATATAGCGTCTTTAAAAAATCCTCTTTTATGTAAATTATTAAAATAGTTTAATTGTCTTGACAATTTGCATTTAAAATCATGACTAATAGAAATTAAATTAATTCTTTTTACATAGCACAGTCACATAAATATGTGTACATGTAACATATAATTTACTCGTACTACAGATGCGCGCTTCGTGCGCACAATTTAACACTTCTACTTTTTATTATAATTTGCTATTATACATCAATCTCAATGCATACAACTGTTAAAATATGCAATGACAGTTGTTCGCGAAATTAGCGCCGCGAGAGAACGAATTATTATTGCGGAAAAATAACAATAACTTCAAAAGACTTTCAAGAAGACCGATATACATATTTCGAGTATCAATTTAACGTGCCTTTTTTTAAGTAGGAGTCCAAAGCGCGTTTCTCACGCGTTTCTCGCGCGCTATTTGTGTTATTTTTTATTTGTTATTATCTTACTGTACGTATACATAATTTTTTTATAAAATTTAAAATTATATAATGGTTTACAACCTTAACATAATCAAACATTTTTATCAATATTTTGATTTATATCTATTATTTATTATTATCACTTTAAAATTTAATCAAATTTAGTACTTTTTATAAAAAATTAAATTAGCATTTACATTTTAAATGCATATATTATATGAAGTTTGAATTCCGTCAAAACTAAAATTAAGTTTTCATTAATTTTATAAATATTACAAAATTTTTCATAATTAGATTTTTTAATATATTTTGAATTACTTGACCCAATTTCAAAACATTTCAATTATTTTTTGTAAGTACAGTTATATAACGTTTTATTCTTAATTCTTAAAAATGAATTTATTGCTATGTTCTCAAAAATGATTCAATATTCTTCAAAATTAGATTTAATATAATTCAAGAATAATTGAAGAATCGTCGAACTAATATATCGATTAATAAGTTTGTGCTATATTATTAAGAATAATAAAAACTTGATTTTGCCGAGAGAATACCAATTCAAACTTCATATTTGTGTCACATCCTCTTAAGTAAGACATTGAAATAAACATAACTGTCACATTTGTACATTTTATCAATTGAATCGAAAGGAAACCAATGACATTTAGAATAACGCGATAACAATGCAATCGCGATTAGCTAATTTAAACATTTCATACTAATTTTATAAGAGGATTTAATATGATTTAAAGTGTCCCAAGTGATAGCTTTTCAAAAGCTAAAGATAGCTGCGAATAATATTTTCTTATCTATTTACGTCTTTAAAGTGGAATTCCTAGAAAACGTTTTATCGTTTATCGTACGATGTCCTATAAAGATGTTAATGAGAAGAAAATATATACGTATATATAATTCGAACTTGGCGTTGTTTCTCCTGCGTTGAACATTTTGTTGAGTTTTTGTTATTATTATGCGGTGTGCGTCTGTTGCGTACGAGTGCGTGCAGGCTGTGTACGCGTGGTTGACACGGTCGCGTGTCCGCGGGCGGAGCCTCATCTTGGCATATTAAATTAACGCGATTACTCAGAACCGTGTCAATTTTCTAAATTGCTTAATTGCTTTTAAATTGCGTGTCCGTTTCTCGCGACGCTCTCCAGTGATCACGCATTCGTTCAAAATTACGAGAGAATTTTAAATAAAAAAAATTGAGAAACGCTCCGACGAGGAAATATGATACATCGTATCAAACTTTCATTTGAAATTACTTCTAATATATCCATAATTCTCTTTTATTTCATTACATTGTAACATTTTATGTATAATATAACACTTATTTTGTACTACACTACATTTTTTATTTTACATAAATTAATTTATTTTACGTCAATTCTATTAGTCAGTAAATTTTATCTATATAGATGTGTGCAACGCTTTTCTGGATTTTTTCTGGAAAAATTATTTTATTTCAATTACGATTTGATATGTAATATCTCTATAGAGGTCTTAATCTAATTCGGAAGTTCCTATAAGCAAACACCATGGAGATTTCCGGAAAAAGAATTTTAAATCACTAAATGAAAAATTTTATCCGAGAATTTTTCTCTTTTATCTCCATTTAAAATCCAGAAATCTAAAATCTTTTTAAAAAAGATGAAATCACAGTCCTAGCTAGTTCATTTCGTTGGAGACTTATTTAAATATGATTGTCATCGTTTCACTTTCGAGCCAGTTTTATAATCAAGTCCTTTCATTCGGCGCAGAGTTAAGCTTTATTGGAAAAATTTGTTAATCAAATGCTTGAACGGTCTGCTTGGTCGTAACCTTCACTCGGAGATTTCGCAGTGAATTTAAAATCGAGCACGAATAACGAATGAATTGAATTATAAGAGAAAAAGTCAAAAGATGTACAAACAACATAAACGAGCTTTGAAAGGAGTCGTTTTCAACTCACTGTGATTCACTCTTTGGTTGATAACAATTATTTGTGAATTAAATAATTGAATGAAGATATCGAGCATTATTAAAAGTATCTTTTGATACTCCGATTTTACGTATAAGTTCTCCGAATTGTTTACTTCGGCTGACGCGATTAATGAACAATGAACAATTTGATTTCCGCTATTTGAAATGGAATTAATTCATTGACCAAGCTCACAATTAAATCGATTTTGATTAACATTTTCGACAAATTTGTTTGAATTTTTGGACTTTTATTGCTATTATTGCTTCAAGTGTACGTAACATTCTGCTTTCTCACTTTATACATTGCATTATAATATTTCCAACGCGTTATGTAATTATAACAACTAATTCTTATATAAAAATTTTTTTATATTATGCGTTTCCATTCTGCGTAGAGGAAAGACTAATTAAAGTGAGATTTCAGAATGATAATAAACGGCTATTTATTTGCATAAAGTTATCATACCTGCATGGGAGTCACGCCCTGCAGTTACAAGTGCATTATATTATTTTAAAGTATACATCTTGATAATCTTATATAATTAATTAGAACGTAGAAGTTTTTTCACCTAATTTAATAATTCTATGTTTTCAAAGACTCTATGTAAATGGTTCACTCTGCTTGCAAAACGTAAAAATTTATTTCTATCCTTCTACAAAATCTGTTAGATCACATCAGTTGGCTTTATCATTGTTAAGAATGTTACAGAAAATGATTTAATATTAAGAATTATAATATATTTTTACATTAATACTTTTTCTTGTAATGTCTACAAAATTTTCATGATACATTATAAATAAGATTCTTTATGAAAACATATTGCGCAATATAACAATAATCTTGTATATATATATATATATATTTATAATTTATATATATTTTTTCTTTTTAATATTAGAAGAATTTAACGATATTTTATTGTACATTACATACATTTAAAAAATATACAAGCAAAAAAATTGTTAAATAATAGTAATAATAATAAACATTAATCAGCTTTATTCCGTATAATAAGCATTATAATGATCCATGTCGTGGTAATCGATTATTAAATGACGATAACATTATTTTTATTGTCTCGGGAACGTGGGTTATCGAAGTTTTTAACGATCTCTACTTCGAATATACTCGTTCTTCATGTTCTTCATGTTCTGCAAAATTTTCCATACTTTTATCAGTAATCATTATTATTAACTGAAGTAAGAAAGCTACTTGATCTGGTTCTTGAATTCTGGGAAAAGTTTATTCGAGAATAGTGTGTGTGTATTTTCTGTCGAATAATATGCAATATACGTTAATGTATTACAATTAACGAGCGATAAAACTGTCAGCAACAAAGTACATCATAGTTCCAGATATCAACACGTATAACAATGAAAAGCAGAAAGCAACCATATTTAGCTGATGATAGCGCACTTAACCGGTAAACACTTTCCGGCAATGATTAAAGCAATTAATATACCAAATCATTATAGAGAAAGAAATTTATCTGTGCTATTGTATAGCGATGAGGGTATAAATTATAATACTTTATCAAATAATGACGCGATTATATAAAAAATAAATTTATTATTAAAAAAATATTTATTCTTCTGAAAAATTTTAAAGAAAAGATTTTGCTGTAACATATTATTATTAATAGATTATTTTTAATTTAGATTAACATGCACTTACATATACAAATTATCTACTATATTAATTCTTACAATCAGATTATCTTTAGCCAAATGTCAATACAATCATGAATGCTTCTAAAAAAGAAATGAAAATAAATTTAATTAATATTATACTTGGTATTATACTTGGACAATTACATTTGGCAAATTAAATCTAAATAGCTTTGAATAAATACTTACAATTAGTTAAAATAAATTTTAAGAATACATAATAATTATAATATATTTTTTTAAGATGAAAAAATGAAATTATAATAGTACACATAAAAAATATGCATTTTGAATTAAAATGAAATTTTTATAAAAACTTTTTTTGATAATTTTGACGTTTTAATAATATTTAATAATGTTTATAAAACAAAACTATCAAGTTAAAGAAACTTATTCTTAATCCATAAAATTTACTTTTGCTATTATTTATTTTGCAGATTCACGTCGGAACGAAATTTCTGAGATCAAAAGGACATTAACTGACGCTTGAAGTTTTTATTAATTCTCTTTGGGCAAGTCATTTATATTACATAAGATTAGGGAAAACCCAGGCAGCGCACACCATGATCAATTCCGGCCGAGTTACGCCGATCCGAATCGAGAACTGGACGCTGCAACACGTCTCAATTCCAGATTGCTCGTCTGTGAGCTCCCTGGAGGAGGATTACGGATCAACCTCGTCAACCGAGTCTGAGGACATGTCTACCAGTCCAGACACGTTCTGCCGCTCGAGCGCGGGCGCGGGCAAGAGCTTCGATCTCGACGAGGACTTCCGCGAGAAGCTGATCAAATATGAAGACATAATCGAGAAGATTGAGAATCTACGGCTTGCGCGCAACAACGACGAGGACAACGAAGATGTCGACAATGAGAACGTCGGCAGGACACGCCACATCAGTTGCGAAAACGTGGACAACATAAAATATCGGGACAGCTGCAAGTTGCAAACGGGCCGTCATACTGATAACGAGGACATAAACAACAACGAGGATAACGTCACGGTTGATGACAATGAAGGCTGCCTGCCGCTTAACATACGCGACGACAAGAATCGATGTCACTCTTTATACGATGGGAATTCCATAGACGACGATTCGGAGGCCGAACAGGAGGGACGGCAGGAGCAGGAGGACTCCGACGATCCCGATCTGAGACAACGAGGACCGATCAAGCCCAATTTCCAACCCCCTCGGGCACTATCATACCCTTACTCCATGGTGACCTGGCTGCAAACGACGCATGAAAACGACGGCGCAGACGCCGCCTACGCGGTGGATTACGAGAAAACTGCCGAGCAGATACTGAGGAACAAGGATTACAGCGAGAAATTGAATCCTTGCTTGGACCAGTTGTCGGACTCGAGTCGAAATCAGATGTTGATCGGAACGATGAATCTGGGAATAAATTCTAGCTGGATCGAAGAGAATGACAACGTTATCTTCCGTAACGGAGATTCTAACAACGATGTAAGTGTTTTAAATTATTTTTCGAATATTATGCCAATGATCACGTTTTTATGAAATTACACGATTTTTATAAATTATATCATCACTATATCATATGTTAAAAGTCGGCAAAAAAATTGAATTGAAGCGCATTTTTCCAGATAAATTTTCATAAAAGTTTTAAAGAGAGATAAAAATGAAAGAAAGTGCTATTTTTAGATGAAAATATATTTTTGCTTCGACAATCTTTTATATATATCGATAATAAACATTTAGCGATAAAACAATTGTTGTATATAAAACGCTATTTAAATGTATCTTGATTTGAATATTTTAAATAGTCGAAAAACACAGTTACGTATACGCGCGCGCACGTATGTGTATATTAGTACATATACATGTTGTTTTAATTTCCTAATTTATCTCCATAAGGAATAACTTCTAATTATACTGATGCATATTATGAGTGAAGGAAGTTAATTAAAAATTATAAAGATTCTTTCCGTATCGATGGTTAGCAAGTATATTACATAATTACTCACTAATAAGAGAAGGTCGTACGCGTGTCGATGACCCAAACTACCGGTGTCGAATTAACAATACGACGCAAAAAGGTTTCCTGGCGTCCCGCGTTCTTGTATTAAAAACGATTTAATCTTATTTCAGACCGCGGCGCTTCCCTCCATAGTCGTCGACGATCCGGGAGAGGAGTCCTTGATGGACATCCTGTCGCGTGGCGGTTTTCAAGCCGCGTTGCTCTCAGACGCCAGTAGTCACTCGATACCCTCGCCAGGCGCGAAAACCTGGTCCGATTCCCCGGCGAGTAGCTACAACTGCGTCGTCTCGAGGTCGAATAGTCGGGCATCGAGTCGCGCCCAGTCACCGGGCTCCGCTACGAACCTGGAGTCACCGCAGATGCACGTCAACGTCATCGGCAGCCCGCTCGGTTCGCCGCAGGTAAGCCCGCGGTATTAATCTGCATAATGTATGAGGAGCCGCGTATAAGTAGCGCGCTTCAACGAATGCCTGGAATAAGTAAAAACGAGGCGCTGAAGTTTCGCAAGCGCGAGCGACTACAGCACATTTAGCACGCTCCGAAAATAATATCACACACACCGCCTATATAAAGATTAAGCTGAATTGCAAATTGAATAAAACCGCAAATTAAAATACAGCGCAGTTTGTCTATTTTGCTATGGTGGATCATGATATCACTTTGTCCCTGGACTGAGTAAAACAAGATGCTGATTGTAGATTTTTAGAGACAACTCAGCAAACACAGATTATAACTGCTATACATTACAGCAATATTAAAACATTTTTGTAATATAGCTAGAATGTTATAATACTGCTGCAACATTGCAGTTATAATCTGTGTTTGCTGGATAATATTTTTATACGTTAAATAGATTATATTTTTGTAATGTTATTCGTACGATTTCTTTTGTCTATTACACGTCAATTTGCTTAAATTATTTAATAATATTAATTGTATTCAGTACGTTAGAATTTATTTTTCTGACATATGTGTTATAATACTGATTTGTCTACTTGTCACATACAGGCGATGCTATAAAAATAAAAGAATGCACACACACACTACTCATAATAAGAGATTTAAATACTAAAACCGACAGTGAGTACACCCGCATTGTTTCATCCATAAAACACCTCTTATCATGGTTTGACGAACCTCGTAAAATATTCACACAACTATCTGACAGCTTGTATAATTTTATGTAGTGGTTGCCACTTGCTCCGCTACGACCTAATATAAATACGAAACGAATTCAGGTGAAATAAATGGCAGGTGATTCAATTAACGGACGCCTTCCTCCGCAGGTCGCGTCGACATATCGTGCGCCGCAAACGTCCTCCTCGTCCTCGTCCAATCTGTCCTACAGCGACGTGTCCAGCCCGCCGAATTACCAGACACCCCTGAATTACCAAACCGAGGAACATCTTGGCGAATCCCTGTCCGATTGGAAGGGCATTTACGAATCCTCGGGAACGATCGTCAACAGCAGCGACACTATTGACTGTGCGTTGCTTCAGCTCGTGGAGCAGGTCATAGAGGAGGACAAGCAGAGCAAAGCGTTGAAGGAGCCGCAGGTTGTCTCGAACCCTTGCTTCTCGTCCGCCTACAATGACCGATGCGTGTCCGTGCGAGCGTTGAATCCCGCATCGCGCGAATGTCCCGCGAGCGACATGCAAAGCGAAAAGTTGCAGGCCATAGGCATACCCCACGCAAACACCATCCAGGTCGGGGGCTTACCCATCGACGGCGATCTCGTGTCGGTTTATGCAAGTAAGGGTAGCACCGGTGGATGCGCGTTTGTGAATCGCGCGATGAACGGTCATGCGACGGACATGGAGGCAAGGTATTACGAGCCGCACGCGAAGAACGGCCAGGTCAACACGTCAATCGTGCCACAGCACGACGCAAACACCCTGCACGAGATCGGACTGACCGACGAGACGTCCGCAAAGACATCCGAGCAAAACTTGCGCGCGTCGCAGGAGAAGTACACGATGTTCCATGTCGCCGGTGGAGAGAAGAGATACGACCAGCCTACATCGATGTTTGTACCTAGCGACTATCAGATACCAACAATGGTCTCCTCGTTCGAACCCAGCCGTCCACAGAGGTAAGCTTGTTGATGAAATCATCGCGACGACGCAAGGTGTGAAAATGAAGTAAACGAACGAGAGAGATGACAATGATTTGAAGTATTGAAAAAAATTGAATAATAAACGTGAACCAATGCTTGAAGGTCTGTTTGAAGGTCTTCATAAAATTGAAAGGAAACGATTTTTTTTTTTTAATAACACTTTTTTCCTCAAAGACACAATCGGAGTTCCAGCTATGCTTTATGCTCCTAGATACTTCTATCGTTTTAATCGCATATTATCTTTGCTATTCACAAACGTGAAGAAAAACATAATGTATGTGTTCTCTATTTCCACGAGGTTATATAATCACAAGTAATGGCATCGTAACGAAACGAACGATAACGAGAAGTATTGCGATAAACATGCAACTGTTCAAGTTTTCAATAACATACTTATTTATGTTTCCGGCGCCTTCGGGCGATTAGAAAATATAAGTCTTACTATACCAGAGGTAGTAATTCAAATTTACATGTGTGCTTCTTAAAAAACTTTGATATCTCAATGTTATTTCAATTTGCGCAACTAAACTATTTTTCAAATCAAGTCGTATTACGAAGTTTTGAATAATGTCGACTGTACGCTACTCGTGTTAAAATTATAATTATGATAGCTTTCGCGCAAATAAATGATAAGAAAGTGGTTAACGACCCGAATTGTTACGACAGAAACTCGAATCGAAATATAGTACCGTGGCCTTCGCTAAACTTGCCGTCTGTAAGAGCGAGCGAGAGGCTAAAGGAAGGATTGCATCCTAAGGAAGTGGAAAGAGCCATGAGTAATCTGCTGAAGAAGTCCTTAGAGGAATTGGCGGCCACAGACGAGGATGGTGATACGTAAGTAACTCATATCACTTTACATGTAAATGTACGAATATATAACGTATAAAATAGCGGTACCATTTTACTGTATATGATTAAATACATATATTACACATATATAATTGATACTGTTAAATTACTTCTTCCGATGCAGCAATATCGTAGACAGTATTAATAAGTATTGTTGATAATAATAATTAATTAATGCCTAACTTTTGAAAAATGAAGGAAATAAAAATCACTTTTTCTCGAATCTTCTCTCTTTTGTGCTAAAATATGCGACGTTTGCGCAGTGCGTTTATGGTCGAGCCTTTCCTAAGAAAACGTGTGATAGGGGTAGCCGACTGTGCGAGAGTGACAACCATCATGCAGTTCGGGGACGTTTGCCTCACTTTAATGATGATGATTAAAGTGAGGCAGACGTCCCCAAGCTACATGGCTGTCATTCTCGCACAGTTTGGCCATCCCCAGTAAACGAGAATGAATTAAAATAGATTTAAAAAATTCATTTCAATTCATGTTCGCAAATGCGTACTTCTGAAAATCTAAATCCATTTCAATGCCCAATGCCTTTATATTCATTTATAGGAATTACATGAATCACATTTTCTATGCCATTCAATAAAAAAAAAATGTCAGCTTTAAAAAGTAATAATATATCGTGTACGAAATAATAAGTAATAATAATCGTGTACGAAAAAAAATTATGGATGTTACAACAATATTTTCGATGTTTGAAAAAGAAATGTATGTTAATTTATATTAAATTATATTGATATTATATTGAAATTTATACAGTTCTCGCAAACGTAGTCTTTATGTTAAACAACTTTCATTCAACCGAAGCATTATTGTTTTCTCTCTAATGTGGTCTATGCAACAAATAGTATGATTGAGATACATATACTTTTTAATCTAATTAAATTCAAAAAAAGTTTTTTGTAAAAATGGACCATGAATGTTATTCATCTATACTCAAAAAAAATATTTTTTGGATATAAATGGATTGAAACAATGCATTTCCCAGTCACAATTAATATAATATAGTAATATTATATTAATTTTAAATTTGACAAATATTATATTAATATTATATTAAAAATATTATATTATATTCGTATTATGAAATAGAAATGCATTCATCTCACTGCGTTTGCGTATAATAGAACGCTGATGTGTCTGGTGGGCAATCCGGAGGAATTGGCAAAGAAGAAAGCTTACTTGGCGCCATTGGTCGAAAGATTGGGCAACCTACCGGGCGCTCTATCAATGGTGAACAATCGCAACGAGGACGCTTTGTACTTGGCCGCCATAAATTGCCCGGAAATGCCTTACGTCACCGGATATTTGGCCGCCGCAATGCTGCAGAAAGGGATCGATATCAATCAAAGATTATATCACATGCGCGTGAGTTTCTTTGTAATAATTCCTCTGCTACGCGAAAGTAATCGTTTTTCGTGCGGTTCGTTAATTCTCTTTAATGACGAAATTAGTTGCGCGTTTACGCTTTAATCAGGCACGTATTACATCCACAGACAAATCTTCCAAATAATTCCGATTACGTGGAAATCTCTTTTATCTCCGTGCGACGAAGTAATCGCGCGCGCATAGATATTTGTTATAATAAATACATTTCCGAACGACTAATTGCGTTACAATTACTTAATAATCGCACGACGCATGATGATCGCATTGAAAAAAACGAATAAGCGTACTTGGCACGGCTGAAGACGTCTCGTACATAAAGACGTTAAAGATAATTTTATTACGCGATGACGAACGATTTTCTGACAGCTATCGTCTCTGTCATTTCAGGGCGACACGCTGATACATTCGATTGCGGCACGCGGTGATTCCCACGGGGACGTCTTAGCGGAGCTGTTGGCGTTGAAGACGATACAAGGGAATCCTGTGTTCGACCTGTCCAGGTGTAATTACGATGGTTAGTTAAACAGGGAACGAAATTAAAAAGCATGAAATTGCACGGAAGCCCGAAATAGGAGGATAAGAACGCGGGTGCATTTCAGGGAAAACCGCTCTTCACATCGCAGTCGAATCGCACGATCCCACCGGACAGGGCGTCAAGTCCTTGGCCACGACGCGGCTTCTCTTGGAGAACGGCGCGAGCATCAAGGTCAAAGAGAACAAGTGCGGCGACACTGCTTTACATATGGCAGCCTCATTGAGTTGCGATCCTGCACTCGTGAAGGTAATCCACCTGAGGGATTTCCCGGCTTCGGCGCGTCAGTTATACGTGAAGTTACCGATGTAATAATAATCGGCTCATCAGACTGCCGATATATTTATACGTTCTGCAACGTATCGCTTCTTGGAATTAAGAAGAAACATTGCCAATGGCGATATACATGCGATTTTCTCGTAAATAAGAAGAGATAAAACTGAGAATAACAACAAACTGTTTTGATATCCCATTCAGCACACTTTATCCGAGGGACGTTCAGAAGACATCTTTTACGTCGTAAGGACGTTCTTAGGACGTACAGAACGTCATCTGGACGTTCCTCGAATAATGTGTGCTGTATGGGTATAGGAACATTGAATAAGCTTTCAATTGCTTGATCCTGAGAGATTTTTCTAGATTTTAACGCGTGTAAAATAGATTTCTTACCTAATTAATGTCAAATGAATCTTAATTGAAAAATTTATAATTTATATGCTTACATTAAAATATATGTCATATTGTTAAATACTAACAACTTGAAATTTGTAAAGACGATCTATAAAAAAATTACATTTGAAAAATATTTAATTTTAAATTCACCAAAGATCTCATAGTTAGAAAGAAATGCGCGTTGCGCATGAACTTGATTATAATGTTATGCTTAACTGGAATACTCATTTTTTATTCGTTTCATGTTTGACTGGTGGATAAGATTGATAGAAGGATCCACCAATCAAAGATGACTGTAGGGAACAATAAGTTGGAGCAAGAAGTAATTGATCCATTCACACTCTTGTTCACCCAGAATTCCGCGCGATAATCTTTGACATGCAGTCCACAGTGTTATCAAATTTGATTATTAGTGACAAAACAAGTGTTGTGTTAGGCCGTTAATAAAAAATCAATTTCGTGAATTTGACGCGTTTTTTCCCTACCGTATTTACATTACGTAACGCATACGATAATTGTCTCTTCTTTGAAAAGGACTGTAACATCTGCCGAACTGCTATTTTTTATTTTATCCCGAAAGAGCGTTTAATCGTAATAATATTCCGCACAGAGAGTTATCTCTTGCTTTCTCACAATAAACACAACTTTTCAAGATGTAAATATGCCTCACTTGGTATTTCGGTATCCTATAAAAATTAACGAACTCTATTAGTAACTTTAGTATTTAGAAAAGAACTAATTCTTATCGACTAAACAAACTAATTATATTTTCAAAAAGATAAAGAAATAAAAAGATACAATTATTTAAAATAAAACATATCGCGACATTGCTGCAAGAGTGTCTTATTTCAAAAATCGTAATTTTTCAGGAGACGCTGTTCAAAGTTTTGTATGTTTACAGTGTAATAGAAAATTTTCAAAATCGGCGTTTTTTTCCGAAATGCGACACTATTGAAAATCGACACGTGGGTTTCGATGTTGTAACAGATAAAAGTACACGCCAAAATCCTTCTTTTCCAATGAATAAAGCAATAGTGTTATTCTCAAAATTAATTTTCGAGATATAACACTATTGCAGCATTGCCGCGATATTATAATTTTATAGAGATAAATTGTGAATAAGGTAAATTCTTAACGCAAGTTATTTAACAGACTGGAGATTCATTTGATATGCAATCTTCGTTTCAGGATTAAATTGTAAAGGTGATATTGCACGACATCGTTGATTTCCATTCGCGTGAATTATGCTCAGACATTTCTCGCGTTTTCGCAGGTGTTGCTGTGCAAGGCCACATCAAATGTCATGAACGAGACCAACTATATGTACAACACACCGCTGCACATGGCCGCGGCGGTCTCAAATACCGTAAACTTGGAGAAGCAGAAAGAGGTCTGCCGACTTTTGATACAAGCCGGAGGCCAGACGAACATACAGAATCGGCAAGGGAAGACGCCGCTGGCGCTCGTGTTGCTGGAAAGGAAAGAAGCTATCAAGAGGATATTCTACAAGAAAGCGTGATAACCATAAAATGGAATGAGCTCGATGATGGGCTCTACATAAGACTGATCTTCGCGGAAGTATTTAGGAGCACTGGACGCTCCTTGGCGCTTTCCGCTCCGTTTCGTGAACTCTTGCGGCAGGATTCGCAATAGTTCATTACAAGCAAACTCTCAAGACTGTGACTCAAGCCGGAAAGGAGTACCAACGATATGTACAATCATTGTACAATCGCATGAAATTACCAGGGAAATTATTGTAGTCCCGAATTGCGCGAGTCGATAAGGAAAAAAAAACGTAATTTACTATAGACATCTTCGTATTCGTAGTGTCTGTTTGGTATCAGACATGGACAGAGTCTTTTTTTTAAGACTAACTATCAATGTTCTTTAAACGGGAAAAAAATAAGAGATATATATTTTACATATATATATATATATATATATATATTTATATTTAAAATTATGTTCACGATACTTCGTCGTCTTTACCTTCAGAATGACATTTACTATTCTAGTTGCAATCCAGTGATATGTATAATATAATATTTTAATATAAAAAGAGACTAAATCAAACACACAAAATCAGGCACATTCTACGCTAACAATAAGAAAACATGTAAAACGAGAGTGTGCCTCAAGATATTTTGATGTTGATATATCGTTATGTCTTTGAATTGTGCAATTAAGACAGGGAATACTATAATATTACCACCTTAAATAGTATAATTGTGTAGTCATTGCACTCCAGTAATATTTAAATGGCTAACAAAAGCGGATATTTCTAATATTTCAGACCAAGTGCTTTCTATAACATTATAATTCATGTTAAATTTCGATCAGTCTCGCTTATCTAGCTGATTCACGATACTTTATTTCCTTCTTCTTTTTTGTTTTCACTTGTATACCGTAACACCAACTTGCATTCTCTTGGTTTACAATTTAAGTATACAGAAGGTTTTTTATATTCAGTTGCTCAAAGTTTTACTAAATAATCGCAACGTTAGCAAAGCGGAATTGTTCTGTTACAATATTTACAGTGTCTTTCTTTGATTAACGTGTACATATCGTTTACTGATACTATCTTATATTAGCTAACAATTAACGTTTAAATATGTATTAATTTTTCTTCTCATCAATTATGCCTATGTATTTATACAGAGTGAATTTTACATCGAACCGGCCTGTTTTCCGCGAAGCGAGTTTTCCCACAGTTTTCCCAGCTATACTCATTTGTCAAACCGACCGGCAACAACGGGAAAGATCTCACGTCGAGAAGTTTCCTCTAATTTTCTCCATTGTATCGCATTATTCGCCATTTTTACGTGGAAACGCTGGCTGGAAGGAGCGAAGTGTTAAGTCAGCCGGCTGCAAAAATCGTTACGTGGAATAATCAACGAACGTAAATATTATTGCGGGATAAGAGGGAATAAACCGTGGCGCCAATCTTCTTGGCGCGTGTACGGACGTATACTTTCTGATTGTTCCACGAATCGAAAAGCTGGCGCCGTAAAAGTCACCACGTACGGTGACTTCGCTAGCGGTGCGGAAGTGCGGCGTGTTGCGGGAAGCGTGCGAGCGTGCGTGCGTACATGAGTGCGCGAGTTGAGTGTGCATCGATAAAAGTGTGCTACATTAACATATATGTAAATTGTAAATACATTTTTATACACACGACTGGTGTGCGCCGCCTGGTATTCCCGTCTCCTCCCATACCGCGAGCGATGTTGTAATCCCTTGTTTAATTCTACTGTGCGGTATGTCCTAATGCACATTGAGTCCTTGTTCATTAATATCTATGTATAACAACGGTGACAAATTCAAACGCGCGTTCCGAGATGTGACCTGAGCAGCAGAATTCGGATACCCCGATGCAAAAATAAAATAAAAGCAGGATACTTATATGTCTATTCTTGCAAAAAGTATTCCGCATACTATTAAAATAAACACATCAAGAACGACGCGCTGTGTTTTATTTGTAAAAAAAGACAGATAAATTAGTGCGCATTTTAACATACTAATCCTTCGCCCAATTTATATCGTATTTTTGGCTTTAAAAGACAGGGGAATGATTAGTTTAATGGCTTTATCGCCAGTCACGCCCACTGTTCAATTCGCCACTGTTTAGCAACTCGCTTAATGTAGATTAACGTAATTATTATTCTCGGCATTTCAACGTGATGAATTATTAAGTTTACAGAGATAACGATTGCTCAGTCTCTCATCATGATCCATCACACGATTTCTTTTTTCCTTATATTTGCGTCGCGCATGTATAATGTTTAATACGTGGAATCATAGGTATTGCAAATTAATACAAACTAACTAATCTGTAATTTAATTTGCCGTTGCTTTATCATAAATGATTCTGTTCGACGAGTTCTGACGAGCATATCAATTAGATATTTTTTACAATACTATAATGTTATTGTATTATATATTATATATATATACATATTTATTTGAAGATGTATTTATTATTTCTTCTGTGACATCACAATATTGATCCAAATAAAATATACGCATTTTATGCTGCATAAATAGAAACATTTAAAATGATATTATTGAATATCTAATGTGTTATTTTTACATCAGTTATAATAATTGTTTTAAAAAATATAGAAATGGCAATTACTAATATTTCAGAACTTTAATTTTTTCTTTAATTCGCGCGTATTAATTCAACATTATTATATCAAAGACGTAATTGTTATTGATAAATTTTCTTATGGGAAACAAGATAGCCAAAATAATATATTATGAACAAAAGTCGATACAATGAATCATCATTTATTGTATAGTGTAGATTATTTCTCTGTTTTGTAAAATTCATAGATTTCTTTTCTTCTGGATTGGATTTCAATTTCTATTGAAATCCAATCCAGAAATGTTTTTTTATTATTTGTTTTTAATAAAATGTAGAAAAATTTTACAATCTTTTATATTATCAGGAATCAAATCACAGAGAATTGATTAGTTAATTTAATTAATTCATATTTGGATTTATATTTTATAAGAGGTAAATTCAAGAAGAAAATGGAATAACATCTATTATAATTTCATATAACATAATATTACATGCACATATCTATCTCAAACTAAATCTTAAACTAAATTTCTATTAAAGTAAGATCTATTTTGAATTAGCTGATAAATATTAGCTGAAAAATATTTTATTATCTATTTATTTGTTTGCACACTTAAATATTTTCGCTAAAGCATGCAAATCGGATACTAATTCCCGAAGCCAGAATTATATTATGAGAATATATCATCGAAGCTAACAATTATGAGGAAACTTTTAGACATTACTCTGGTATTTCAGTAACATTCATAAAATAATATTTATCAGAATAATTATCGCAACTTATCACATAGTTAGCTCTCATTGTTAGATATTCTCTGCTGGATTGACCGCGTTTTTCCGGTGCATTCTCATCGTGGAACACAAGTATGCTGGTATTGTCAGACCGATTATAATATGTATTAACAAACGCGCCAAACCCTGAACTCCACGATCACCGGAATATATTTACTAAACAGTACGTTACGTTATATGCATGTCAATCACCATAAAAAAGCGGTGCGAAAGAACTGTCTATCTTAATCGCGCACTCGACCGTGGATTCGTCCGTCGGCTGAATGCGATCCCCGAAATAGTCATTGCCTGCTATCGTTACGATACGTTCAACATCGAGGAAGTGGTGTTCGTTGTTGCGGCGAGTTCTTCCTGAAATGACAAAGGATCCACCGACAGGAAGCGTTGCTAAAACATCATCGGAAATTTGAAATCTGACTAATATAACCGAGTGTCTGGAGGAAAGAACGTGCAGAAAGTGTGATGAGGGAGCTTTTAAACGAAAAGATAAAAAAGGAAATCTAGAAAGTCTAGTTTCACCGTGCGAAGAAGCTGCCAAATTCAAAAGTATGGTGAGAGCATGTTTTTCTTTTTTTAATTTTATAATGAACTTATTGAAACTGACATATCTATCGTCACTAATGTCAAAAAGTTTGCCTCGAATTTGCTGGAATCTTCACTTTACGATTTTAGTATAGTTTACTTCTGCTTGAAAAAGTCAATTAAGAGAAAGTGCGATCATCTAAAAACAATATTTATTCTAATTTATTCTAAGAGTATAATAGTAACATTTATCAATTTTTATGGAATAAATTTCTCTCTCTCTCTCTCTCTCTCTCTGCCATCACAAATTTAATCATTTATTTTCTTCTTTTCCACACTGTACTCCGCTCGCTCTCATTTTTATACAATTCTCATTCTCATACAAAAATGTAATACTTGTAATCATGTAATACTTGTAATGTATATGTAATACTTGTATGTTCAATGTCAAAAATTGAAGTATGATGGAAGATTAAACATTATCCGATAAATAATCATCGAAATTCTCATAATATCGCAATAATATCGGAAAATTTGAAATCTTGATTTACGTTTATTAATTTTATGACTTATCCACAATCAAAAATATGCTTTTATCTTCTATTTTTGTCAAACTCGCTAAAATTACACTTAAGATACAGTGATTGACATGTTGACTATTATTAAAAAATTAAGTAGCTTTGTCTTCTATATCATTTTTATACAAATATTTTGCTTAACATACTATTTAATTAAATTTATGAAAATTCAAAATTAAATTTTATTCCCGTTTCCAAAAGTATGTTTTATTGAATTGTAGAAGCTTTTCGTACAAATTTTTATTTTTTTTAAGTCATAAAAATTTTGTTCTGTGACACCATAATGATTTTTCATTTCTACTTCAGACACTATTCTTTATTTAAATTTATTACATTTTTAATTATTTATAATTTACTCGTATCTGACGTTATAAATACTTCATAACTACGAAATAATTCATAACTGTTGTCCCTTTGTATACATCGCTAATTATGAGTTAACTCCTATTCAACAGTCAGTGTAATACGCTTATTTTTAATCTACATTTACATTAATTAATATCTATTTATTTAGAATATATGACTACGTTTGATTAGAAACTATATTTATTGCCCATTTAAGAGGAAAAATTCACTTTTAGTCATAGGATAAGTCGATCGTAGGTATCCTTATCAATCTGGAATGAAACATTTCTAATTTCAGCACGAGTACTATCGACGGTGAGATTTTATGTGCAGATATATCGCGTATGCTGAATATGGGAGCGACCCTACTCGCAGTAATACTCATTGCAGCATTGTCTGCAACTGCGAATAATATCAGCGAACAATGCCAAGTTCACAATGAAAGGAGGATTACGTGTAGTTGTATCGGAAACGAGGTATACTAATTAATACCTCCATATTGTGTTGTGATAATCTCTGCATTCGTGATAATCTCGCATTTCAGTTTCGTTTGAATAAATGTTTCTGCACGGGACTGATCGTGAAACAAATGGTCAATTTTTGCAGATAAACATTAATGTTTTTCTGCAAAAATATCAGAGTGTTAGTAATTTTTAAATTGCAAATGTTCTCAAAATGACAGAAGAAATTATAAAAAATTATTACTTTTGATTATATTCAAGTTGAAGTTTTCTTGTTATAATGAGGGAGATTTATATATATATATATACACACACACATATATATGTATATATATATATATAATTACTTTTTAAATTAAAATATAATTAAAAAGAGTAGAATTACGATATACATTGTAAGATTTAAGATCAAAAGATACAGTCGTGTTTCGCGCCAATTTCAATAATTCCAAATTCGATCGAATGCTTGAAACTAAAAGTAACTTCGATTAAATCCTGATTAGTTTAACTTTATTATATTTTCAATATTTTGTTAATAATGAAAAGATTAAGAATAAGGAACATTTTATCGTTTAGAAAAATGAATAAAATAAAAATTAGAGACAACAAATATTGTATAGGTATAATTGTATATAATTGAATTAATCATAAATTAAATTGTTCAGAGTTTGGCCTAAGTCATTTTTACCTAATTGATAAAAAATATTTGGATTAACGAACAGTTTTCGTTTTTTTTATTTTTTGCATGCTCTATAAATATAAATACATCGATATTAAAAATGCGAATTGAGAAATTTTTATTTAAAAAACGTCTTCTCTTGAAGATTGGCTATTACAAATTTTTTCCGATTTTGATAGTATCAGACATAGATGGATGATGATATATATGCAAGATGCTATAATTATATTTCAATGTAACTATTCCTTTGGGATATATAAGGATTACTATACATAGGCTTACCAATGTAGAATATAAATCCGCTCTTTTTAGAGTTTAAACTTTTATTAGAATCTAAATTAAATAAATAAGAATTTAGAATTTTTTAAATTTATACATCGTCCTCACTTATTTCGCAAGCTCGAAACTAAAAATCTCACATATTTACGGTGACCTTCCTTTTATTCTACGTTTTTGTTAGTTTTAAAAACAACATTATATTACGATGGTGATAATGTCACTGTTCCTTCGTAAAAATGCTGATGATAAGATATAAATATACAAGTCCATAAAATACACAAGGACGCAAAATAAGTGGTTATGAAATATAGCCGAAGGTGAAATGTGCGCTTGACTGCATCTGATTTTTCAGGAATTTTATCTACCAGAAGAATACAATTACAGGAATATTACCAGCGTGTCTGTCACAGGATGCGTTTCAGCGAACCTTCATTACTCCAGTTTTCCGGAGGCGAACGATCTCGAGGAGGTAATAGTTCAGAACATCAGCGGCAGCCTGAACTTTGACGTCTTCTTTGCGTCAAACCGCATGAAACTGCTGAAGCTCTCGAACATCGGCCGGATACCGAGGATAACGAACCACACGTTCACGAACTTGAAAGCTATCGATACGCTCGCGATCGAGGACGCGCTCATCGAGAACCTCGAAGAAGAGTTCGCCTACATAAACATCTCGCATTTCATCATGATGAACGTTACGATCGAGCGAGTGTACCAGCTGAACGTTGAGAGGGGCACGACGTTGCGTATAGTGAACAGCGAGCTGCGTAACGTCATAAAGAACTTGAACTTCGCCAATTTCGTCAACATCGAGATTGTCGGCTCGAAATTCGAAATGCAGAAATGGGGACTAATGTCCATCCAAGGCGACGTCGCCATCGTGAGGAGCAACATTTTCTCGAACGTGAGCATGAATCTGGTCACCGCGACCGCCATCGTGATAAACGGCATTTGCGCGGACGGCAAGAGCAGTCTGAGGCTCAGTTCGAAGAGCATCAACAGCACCGACAACAGACTGCCGAATGAAATAGCCTATCTGGGAGGCGATCAGCATGGAGAACCCTTCGCAATTCGAAATAATACGGTCTGCAAAGCGGGCAATTGCAAATGTTCAATGAACAGCGGACAGGCTCCGTATCGAGCGGCCATCCTAATATACATTTTCTTGTTAACAGGGTCCATAATTATACGCTATATTTGATACCTTCACTATGCGGCATTACACGATCTTGTAATCTGATTAAAAACCTACTTGTGAAAAATCAATTTTGACTTAATATAGAAATATAAGCTAATGAACAAGATGTAAAATAATTCTGAGAATTTATAGACACTGAATCATTTCATGCGATTACATTGGCTTAGCGATAAAGTAGTTGCTTGTCAAACGAGAAACACGGATTTGTTTCCCGATCCTGCCATTTCACATATAATACAAAGAATTTTATATAAAAAAATGTGTTACAAAGTGTTGAAGTGCTACAAAGAAACAGTTGATAATAACACTGGATCATTAAATTATAATACTTGCGTTTTATGAAGAACAGAAAATCGAATAATAAGAATTGCATTGTAATACTATAACCGTTTTCCTTCATAGGCTATACAGAAAAAAACATAAAATTTATCGAATTTTTAAGTTATTTCCTCATTACATTCGGTTCTCCGATCTATTATTTTTTTAACTATTAGTTGTATTCTTATCATTCTTTCAAAAATGTAATTATGTATTCATATAATTGCAATTACAAGTGTAAAAAGGATATACAAAGATAGCGAAAGAGAATAGATCTATGTTAAAAACGTGAAATGTATATATTAATTAGGGAAAGCACCTTTATTTCATTCAAAAATCTTAAACAAAAGCTTTTTAATGCGCTTAACACATAACAAAACTTATTCAAAATACATAAAACTCTCTGCTTACAAAGGACAAGATTGTTACAAAACTCCATACTGCTGTATTATTACAAATATATCTCTAGCAATTGCTCTATCTCTATGCACTTTTTTTTCATGTACATCTACAAGCTATAAATAAATTACCAATATTAATTACATTTGATACTCAAGTATCTGTTTTGGTCCATCCACATGCTTCAATATGTAAATCATTTCCAGCTTTATATAACTCCAGAGCTTCGTTCAGCTTATTGATTTCTTCCAACATGTGCCTATTGTTTTCCTCCAAACGACAAATTGTTTGTTTGTACGTAGTTAGTTCCTTTTCATGCATTTTTTGTAACAATTTGTCTCTTGGTGTGAAAGAACCTATACAGACGAAAAAAAAACCATTACATTCTCTCGAATTTTATCATGTTATGCACTGTGCGTCAAACTAAATATGTTCTGTGTAACACAAAGAGTTTTCTATAACTATATCACTGTATGGCGTACCAACTCCTGGCCAAGCAATTCACAATGCAGCCAAGTTGAATTGGTTGCATTCATTTTTGCGTAAACAAAATTTCTGAGAGTGAAAGCTATTGTATTCCATTAACTAATTAAAATTTAGAACGTATTCTGTCTATTTTAATATTGTATATGATGTAAATATAAAGCAAATGTAGTCACACATTTAGTAAGATTAATTAGCCTTAAAACGAGATATCTACTAACCAGCAGACTTTCGTAACTGCTCCTGGAGCTTCTGATTATTTTGCATGATTCTTCTTATTTCGTGCTCATGTTGAGTCTCTTTGAACTGAGCTTGTTTCTTTAATTTTCGTACCTGTAAATCAGACATTTAATTTCAATAATTATATAAATTATTCAAATCAATTTATACAAGTATATTCTACGCAAACTGTACCTCATCTCTTTCCAGCTTTAGATCCCGTGATGTGTTCTCACATTTAACATTAAGTCGTCTTTCTTTTTCCTCTGCTTTGCATATCATAAGTTCCTTCTTTTCTATGTCTTCCTTCAGGCGCCTCACATGATTCTGTCGACACATTTGTAATTAATTGTTATAATTTATAAATATAATACGCGATATACAATTTCCATATACTTACTAATCATTTAACTGTGCAGCATGGAATAATACAAAATATATCTTAGTATTTATTCATGTTTTACGTAAAAGCAAACTCACCTTGAGATTAACATTATCATTAACGGTTCTCTGATTCAAATCAATCAACTGGTCATGTAATCGCATTAAATATCTATATTTATGTATAAATTTCCAAGAAGCATTTATCACGTGTACCAATAGCTCTTTCAATGATTCTGAAGTTTCTAGATCATTATTTACGGTTGCCGATGGGATATCGAAAGACTCCAATTCCTACAGATTTAGACATTAATCAATATCTATATATGTCTATGAACATTTTAATAAAATTATTGGTTACATTTATCTCATTACCTCATTCAATATATGTAAAGATTGTCTTAAATTTTCCTGTTTACAAAATACAGTTTCTTCACTAATATAGTCCCGTTCAGCAAACATGCTTCTCAAATTCCTCTTTGGATAAGCACCATTGGAAGTTGCATTCATATTTATCTGCACACAGTTTTGAATTATATTTATATCGCAGGTAAAAATAAAAATCAATATTTTTTTTTTGCTAAAACTGAAATATATTAATATTCACTTGTTTCAAGCAAACTATAAACCAAAGCAAACTCTTGCAAACAAAATTAATTATATACGTAATTTAATAATTAATAAAATAATTCTGATACTATAATTCTCCTTTTATCATAGTAAAATCTTATATAAGTATTTTTTTACAGAAATGCTATAACACATTCATCAAGAAATATTACCTATCGCCCTATTATAATAAAATTGTTTCACTATTATAACATCATTTGTCATATATCTACCTTCAAAAACTTTTATTCAACATTCATCACATCTAATTTTTAAATTGTTTAAATAAAACATTAAACATGAGACAAATTTTGCTTTATAATAAATCTCTCTCTTCTCCTCTCGCCGCAGATACTCAATTATCCTCAATTAAATCCTTATAATGCGAGCTTATATTTATTAAGAGTCTCATCCAATATATATATAAAAATATAGCAACTATGTGGGAGACAATCAGCGTTTCCTTTATTGAACTGACGAGCTTTTTCAAGCAATCATTTAGCAATAATTACTCATATTCTCTAAATGGAACTATCAAAACATGGATATATCCAAAAGTTATTACATGAATTTTCCCGATTGATATATGCGACGACAAATAATGCATTTATTGCAGAGATTTTAATATTTATTTTTCTGCCTGATTAATATTAGATAGAATGTTTCACATATATACACATATATGTACACATTACCCTAAGGGTCGACATCGGGCTTCTTCCCTGTACTTCCTAACCTCAATAATTTTCTCTTTAATGTATATCACTTTCCCGGAAATTTCGCCTAAGATTAATTTTCTAATCAGCCTTTTCTTCATATTATTACTTACTATATAGCGTTCTTATGTTATTACAACGTCCTTATTTTATTATACGAATAAGTAGTTCTGTTTATACTCCGTTTCACAACAATCCCCTACGAAGGTTAACCACACATCTGAACTCTACCCTCGCGCATGTCCGTGCACATTCCTTATACTCGTCGATTTCTTACTCTCACATAATTATTTTTTAAATAGACGCATCGAATATATCATATATATATATATATATATATAT